AGGATACTGTTGTTACCTCACATAATATTACACAGTATGGAAAAGATTAAAACTTTTGTTTCACACACTTTAACAAGGTTAGTCAGCAAAATACTCAAGTTGAGAAGTTTCAGTCAAAAAAAAGCAATAAATGTTGAGTAATGCTTAATTTGTGGCATCACAAATACCAGAACATGAGGTTTTGAAGAGTTGACTTGCCACATATGTTGGGGTCAGATAATATTATGTTCAAGTCGGAAGAGTTTGATGAATGGGCTCTCTAACTTCAAATAATGCTGATTTTGCTAATGTTGATCTTGCCTACTGCACGCCCTGTGCGACATAACCTGTATGCCTTTAAGTTTTTTCCACACTATGATCTGTATGTCCTTGCTTACTATGATCTGCTTGTACTGCTCGCAAACAAAGCTTTTCACTGATCAAATATTTGAGTCATACACATTCTAATACCACTACATCTCACAGCATCAAAATAAATGGTGGTACAGAAAGAAAAGGTACAAATGTTGAATAGCTGTTTATGAAGTAGATGTCAGGTGACAAGTTAGGCAATTTCCACATTTCTCTTTGAACAATCTAAACATTTTTCTGCTCCCTTATAGGACAACCCTACGGAGTACAACTGGTTGCTCATCTTCTGAATTAGTATTTAAATATGCCACTGAAACAAGGCTTGGCTTGCTTACAATGAGCATCAATAGCAAAGTAAAAGATAAAGGAAACAAAGCAAAAAGATGAGTCATGATACCTGAGGCTTTGACAGTTGTGTTGTCAGAAGGTCATGGTGAAAAACCAAGGTGACAAGGGAATGTATGTAACTTAAACTGTTCTAAAGAGGCTAGTCAGTTTTACATATCTTGAGCACAGAGATTCTGTCGGTGTTCTGTAAATCAATTGCTTAAAACAGGAAATCTGACAGCGTATAGTCAACCTCCAAAAGTTCAAGTTCCTTTTACACCCCCAAGTGAAAGTTAGAAAAAGTGACAGTCCCAAAGAAACAAAGTTTCCTCTCAAAAACTTTAAACAAAGTTTGCCAATATCATAATTCATTGATAGACAAAGTGAGTCTGGATCTTTGATCAAGACAAATCAACGTCACAATCAAAACCATTAAGCGGAATCAATAGTCAAATTCAGATTCAAATCAGAGATTGACAGAACAGAGGACATGGATAGAAATACTAGAAAGAAAGACAAAAAGCCAAATAGGTTAATTGAAAATATGTAGGGAAAAGATTTTTAAATTACAATTTTAATTTTAATTAATTAAATAAATACCATTTTCCATTAAACACATACTAGCATGCATGTCAGTCTCTCGATATCAGTCATATGCCTTGGTCATGACTACATTAACAAATCTGTAACCACCTGTTGTCTACATTGGTTTGGTTCAGTTCTATTATATCTGGGAAGTTACATACATTAAAAGATAAAATAGCATATGGACAAGATTTAAGTGGCGATAGATTGCAGTTTATTGCAAGATTTCAGTATTTTGTTACATTGCCCACTATTGAGGTGTAAATAAAATTAGCTCAAGAAGACCTGCCTGCAGTCATTCTCAATATAATTCACCACATTAAGATTGTGGGTTCCAATCTCACTTCAGAGACTTGGCCACAAAAATTACACTCCAGTGCTGCATTGAGAGGGGCAAACGTCTTTCAGAATAAAAGATTAAACTAAGGTTCCTCCTAAACTCAAGTGGATGTAAAAGCTCCCATTATGCCACAAGAAGAGCTGGAAAGTTTTCCTGTGTCCTGGCAAATATTTATCTCTCACCAGAAATCACAAGAACAGGTCTGTTCATTTGCACAAAGCTGTTTGTGGGAGCTTGGCATGCACACAAAGGCAGCCACATTTCCTACATTACTAGAACGACTACACTTCAAAAGCACTTAATTGATTGTAAACTGTTCACAAGTCAGGAAAATGCTTATTTTCTCTTCACATACTTTTCTTAGTCTAGTATGCTAGCCAAGAAAGTTCAAAAAAAGTCTGCAATAGACTAGCATTTTGCAAGCCCCATGGAATGCTGCATCCCCATGCCATCAGAACAAGGTAAGGACAACAAACCACAAAATAACTAATTGAACATTATTAACTGCACATTTAGGAAGTATACACAAGCAAACCGACACTAATTTATTTTGTGACAGCTAGAGTAACAATATTACAATTGTTCTCAATCCTCCCATCTCCATTGTACTCGCTGACCTATGATGGCTCTAGTCGGGCAGCGGCTCAACTTTAAAAATCCTCGTCCTTGCTTTCAAATCCCTTCAATGCTTCACTGCTCCCCAACTCTCACCTTCTTTAACACTACAATCCCCCAAGATCTCTGCATTCAAGTATCCTAATTTGAATCAATCCACCCTTAGTGAATATCTCTTCAGCTGTCTAGGCCCAGGCTACAGAATGGCCTCCCCAACACTCTCCACTGTTCTTTTCTCCTTTAAGATGCCTACTGCTTTAACCAAGATGCCTACCTTTTTTAGTCATCTGCTTATACGGCTTGCTCCCGTGCAGCACCTTGGGATGGTTTACCATTCTAAAAGGTGCTATATAAATCCAAAGTTGTTGTAGATGTAAAAACTGCTTCGCCAAATCTAACAATGAAATAACACCATTTAACTGACACAAGTTGATCACATTTGTTGCCCCACTCCCTGGTCATTTTTGAATTCGCTGAACTAATGCACCTGAACTTGCATTGACAGCCTAAACAGTGGTGGAATTTTACCCTAGATGGATTTAATTCTGTTGCTTCTCATTATTCTGTACAGCAAATTGATAAGAGAGTACTATACCAAAAGAGCATTAGTTGACTGATCAGAGGGATGAAAAAAAAGAGTGAAGTAAAATTGCATAATACTATCGGTCATGCACGTTTTTCCCTTTCCTTTTAGAAATACTTCCCTCAACTTAGTAATTGTGCATAGCAGCAGGTCGTATATTCCACAGCAATTTCACAACACTTGAGTGGCTCTTGACCAAAACATATTACAGACCACCGTCAGAGTCAAAGTAAGCATATCAACAGATACATCAAAAGAAATTCTGATCGAAGTATGTAAACAAACCGACAACTATCGGATTTTTTTAAAAAACAGGTGACACGATAAATAAGTCCCTCATCAAAATTCACCAAGAAACAGCAGCACATTTTAGAAGCTAAGCAGTTGTAGTCACAGAGTCATACAGCACTGAAAAAGATCCTCCAGTTCAACTTATCTACACGGATCAGGCATCCCAATCTGACCTAGTCCCATTTGCCAGCATTTGGCCCATATCCCTCAAATCCCGTCCTATTCATATACCCATCCAGCCTTTTAAATGTTGTAATTGTACTTATCTCCACACTTCCTCTGGCAACTCGTTCTATACATGCACCAACCTCTGCCTGAAAAAATTACTCCTCAGGCCCATTTTAAATCTTTCCCTTCTCACCTTAAACCTATGCCCTCTAGCTTTGGACTCTCCCATCCTAGGCTATTCACCCGATCCATGCCCCTTACGACTACATAAATCTTTATATGGTCACCACTCAGCCTCCAATAAGGAAAAAAGTCCCAGCCTATTCAACCTCTCCCTATAACGCAAACTCTCCAGTCCCAGCAACATCCTTGCAAATCTTTTCTGCGCCCTCTCACATTTAACAACATCCTTCCTATAGGAGGACAACCAGAATTGTATGCAATATAAAAGTGGTAAAATTATACAAGTGAGAAATAAGTTTATATTTACCAAGGTTAAAATCCTCAACATGCACACATCTCAGAGTTAGCATTAAATCAGAGGCACAGCAGACAGATGCAGAAGAAATCTTTGATTTTCCCAATAGATTCATGTTCCACTGCAAAGATAGAAATCCATAAAGAGGCTAACATTGCAGTGCAGTTCTGAGGGAGCACTACACTGTTGGAGGTGCCAACTTTTGGGTGAGATGGTATACCAAGGTCCACCCTCCTTTGAAGTCCTACGATTGTTAGTTTGAAGAACGGAGGAGTTCTCCATGGTGTTGTGGCCAATACTCACCTTTCAACCACGATTATTTTATGTACGTTTTTATTCTACAAGCCCGGCAGCAATAAAACATGCCTAAACTCAAAAATACATCCGAGTTTCAAATTACGACAATGGTACAGCAATGAGCTGATATTTGACACAAAAGTGCACAGAGGTCAAATGAAAATTTTGAAAGTAAAGTTCCTGATGTACCAGATGTTTTACAATGTTGCACTAAGTCCAAATACAATTAAGACAGTTTGGAGCAATGTGGGATTGGGGGTGCAGGGTTGACATGAAATAAAAGAGTTCCTTGCTGAAGTTTCATCACTGAATTTCAATGGCACAGGATGATTACAGACTACACAGCTAGATAATCCACTTAAATTTCAATTGTCAATTTAAAGTTCCTCTTAGTATTCTAACATCAGTCATATAAACTTGAAAATGATTTGGCTAGTTTACATTTAAAATAGATCGGCGTCAATAGTCAATGCACACGAACTGCACAAAGGAAAAATCAGAGGCCTTGCTTTTACATAGTACCTTTTAAGTCCACAAGACACTAAGTCACATTCTAAACCAAACCACCTTCAGCTCCTTCATCAATAATCATACCAGCACCCAAGGCAAAAGTGGAAATATCACTGAATTATTTGCAACATCTCATACGCCAAAGTAGTAATCGCCCACATGCAGCAAGATGAAGACAACATTCATTCTTGGGCAGTTAAGCGGAAAATAACATTCATATAAATATGCCACGCAAGTACCAGACAATGGTCATCGCCAATCGGAGAATCAAACCACCTGTCCTTGACTTCAAAATAGCATTAGCATTGCTGAATGCCCCATTGACAGTAAACTGAACTGGACCAGTCAAAAAAAGGCAAGGGTAAATCAGAGGCCGAGAATTCTGAAACAAGTAACTCATCTTGTCACTCCCCAAAGTCTGTTCACCATCCACTAGACACAATGAGATGGAATACCTTTCACTTGTTTGAAGGGATGCAGCTCCAACAGTGCTCAAGAAGCGTGACACCATTCAAATTAAAGAAGCTTGCAAGACTGGTTATCCATTTTACATTTACTTCCGCCTGGGTCACAGCAGTGTCTTCAATACACAAAATGTACTGCAGTAACCCAGAGCTCCTTTGACAGTACTAACAGTGATCTTGACCGCCTGGGAAAACAAAGGCAATGGATGAAAAACAGCACCCTCACATCATCCCGACTCGGAAATATATCACCAGTCACTAGGTCAAAACCCTAGAACTCATTCTCAAACAGCACTGTGTCTGAGATAACAAGGTGTCGAGCTGGATGAACACAGCAGGCCAAGCAGCATCAGAGGAGCAGGAAGGCTGACGTTTCGGGCCTAGACCCTTCTTCAGCCTTCCTGTTCTTCTGATGCTGCTTGGCCTGCTGTGTTCATCCAGCTCTACCACCTTGTTATCTCAGATTCTCCAGCATCTGCAGTTCCTACTAGTACTGTGTTTGCCTTTGCCACTTGGACTATAGAGGTTCAAGTAGGTGGCTCATCACCTTCTCAAGGACATTTAGGATAAGTAACAAAAGCTGTGTAAGAATGAAAACGACTAAATGATTCCTGAAGTTTCATAAGTGCATGTTATCCACTGGAACTCAAATGAATTCCAAAGCAGCTTCACTTTGAATGGAATTATGCCTTATGTGATATTGTTCAAAAGCTTCAAGATGCCTCACCAAAGATTCTCATCCTGGCAGTAGGACCTGACTTTGAACTTACATGGTTAGTCCCTTTTTAATCTGTCACCCCGTGTCTTGCTAAAACCATACAAAACACTAGATAGATCACCCATAGAAAACAGTTTTTAGTCCCTTTATCAAAGGAAAGACATCTTGGCATCAGAGGCAGCCCACAGAAAGCTTTCTAAGTTGATCCCAGGTATGGAAAGATCTTATTTTCAGGAGGACGGGCCTGTACTCATTGGAGTTTAAAAGAATGAGGTAACCTCATCATAACATACAAAATTCTTAGTGGGTTTGACAGCGTAGATACCAAGACATTGTTTCTAGGACCAGAGGGCATAGTCACATGGTAAGTAGTTTCCCATTTAAAACAGAAATGAGGAAAACTTCTTCTCGGAGAGTAGTGAATCTGTGGAATTCTTTACCACAAAAGGCTGTAGAGGCTTAAGTATATTCCAGGCTGAGATGGACAGATTTTTAATTAGGAAAGGAATTAATGATTATGTAGGAATGGCTGGAAGGTGGATTTGAGGATGATCAAATCAGCCATGATCTTACTGAACGGTAACAGACTTGATGGACTGAATATCCTACTTCTACTCCTACATCTCATTATCTTATGCATAATAAACCTGTACACAGACTGCGCAGTGCTAGTGCAGTTTTGCTGTACTATACTGATTCAAAATACAGACTGAGAGATTCCAATTTGAGAGATTATCAATACTGCAAGTTAACTTTGCAATAAGCTCAGGAGACGGTACACGAGCAAATGGAACAAAGCAGTCACAAAGGAAGGTTAAATGAATCAAAAGGGACTGCTGAGGAAGTGAAGGAGCTGATAATAACAATTATTTTAAGAGGGAACTAGAAAGTCATTTGGTGAGAAAATCAAAGGATGTGGGCGCTGAACTGCGTTTTTTTTTGTTGAATTCTGGCACCAGATCGCCTACAATTCTTTGATGCTCTTTATAGGACAAACTTTCAGAGGACATCACACACAAGGCACACACAAAGGGTGGGTTAGAAGAGAAAGGAACAGAGAATGTAGGCACCAGGAAGGTGAAGAACAGTCATGAAAAAGCGTGCTTACAACTTCAGAACACAAGGAAAGAGCTGGTGGAGAAAGAGGGGGATTGGGTTGGGAGATTATAAAGAATAAAACCATAGTGGCTGGAGGAATGACTACCAGAATAGAGAATTAGCAATAGGACAACTAAAGTGTGCACGGGAGCACAAAGTTATAGATGATAAAGGAAATGTGGGACAAGGTTTTGCAATGGTGCTAATAGAATACCTAATGTTATGTCGTCTCTTGGCCTATGCTTAAAAGATTTGTCAAATCCCAAATGCAGAATACATAATTGTTTCAGAACAGGACAAGCCTCATTTAAAACTTAATCTAAAAGGTTCAGGTAATGTGTTTTTCCCCCAAATTGCTGGCATAGTGCTAAATCAAATAGAAACGATGCAAGACCAGATGCTGATCAAATTAACAGAATCTTAATTGCGTCCAGTTCCCATTATACTTCTAGACTTTTATTTTGGTTTTATGTTGCATTTTTCCTTTATACGACACCCCATTACTGTACTCAATTTCTTTCACTTTCTGTTTCTCAAGACTGACACTGCCTACTGATGGCTACAAACCAAAACCACACTGTGAATAATCTGATTTTCCCTCAGGATCTCCATTCTGTCATACACATTCTGGACTTTCACAGAACATTTTTCAAAGTTTAAACTTCAAAAAGGTTAAACTCAAAAGAATAGAACCTTTTAAACCAGGTATAGCTTTTTCTTTGGAAAATTAAAATACAACTCAAGAGCATTTCTCAGAAATTAGTGCAATAAATAGTTCTGTTCGTCATTTCTCTCTCATTTCCATAAGTTATTCAGCTATAAATGTGCTGCAGTGGTAATGACCCTGCTTCTGAGTCAGGAAGCCCAGGTTCATGTGCCTCTGCTCCAGGGGTGTATAAAATCTCTGAAGAGGTTCATTGGAAAATATAAAAACAAAGGAGACTAATCTTTGCATTCAGGCCAGTTGTCACAGTCATTCTGATGAAAACTTGCGATAAAAGCCGAATTTTAATAATTCCACATGATGTTAAGATTCAATCGATACATATTTATATCAATGACATTTGCACATATAGAAGACACTTAGGTTCAAGTCCCACCGCTCCAGAAAAGTACGATGACATCTCTGAAGAGATTGATTAGAAAATATTTATGAATGTTAGAAAATAATCAAGCCACGAAAAAGTTTTGAGAGTTATGTTAATCCTGTTGTTGCAGAGTGACGTATATACAAATATACAATTATAATTATTCAAAGCAGTAATTAGCAAGGGCTGGAAAGGCAAAAGCAATCTTATGACAAGTTAGTTAAATACACAGTAATTGAAGAAAATTGTCTGAACTACTGGACATCATGAAAGGCAGCAGCCAAAAACGAACGAGTAGAACGAACACTTACTAAACTCAGAAATTGGGAGCACAATTAATACTATTGGAGGGACGAACGCAGGTGACG